AACTCAAAAGCAAACATTTATTATATTGCAGCTTACCAATTCTTAGATGTGATGGCCGCGTTCATTTTTTTTTCATAGGCTTTCTTTTTTTCTATTCTTATCAGATGATCCACCCATAAAGTCTGTTGTTTTTCAAAAGAACAAGTTCTCCAGCAGAATGTATCAGTTAAAGAGAAGAGCAAACAATTTAACATTAGCAGAGGTGCTTACAATGATCATGTTGTATTTGTTTATGTAAAACCTTGATCCCAAAAGGAAAAACAAATGTTTGTTATAACTGCTTATAAAGTATTAGCTTGAGTTTGGCTTCAATTTTTTTGTGTATTTAAATCTGCCAGCACACCTAACTCTCTCCTCCCCCAAGACTGACATGGCTGCTGTCCAAAGGTGCCCCCTGTGCTCATTCATTCAGAGTAGGGGCACTCTAATACAGGAGATGTGTTATTAACTAGATCACCAGGTGAAAACAGAGAGAAACAGCCAAAAAATCTAATGTCAACACCATTAGTAAGCTGCAATACATAAAAATTTTGGTTTTGAGTTTAATACCGATTTAAGGGTAGTTAAAGTATTTTCTATATAATTTCCACATTTTACATACTTTTCCAGTTTTTTGTTATTAACCACCAACCGCGCTATAGCTGAATGTCAGCTACAGCATGATTGTCCAGTTCTAGGAGGGCGTTATATGACGTCTTCCCAGAACGCGCCCTCTCGTGCGCCCCTGGGGGCGTGCACCCGGCGATCTCCGTGATCGCTGTGTCCTTCGGACACAGCTGATCACGTTATGTGGTAAAAAGCCGATCACAGTGGCCTTTTACCACGTGATCAGCCATGTCCAATGACACAGCAGACCACCGGTAAATACAGTTGCCGGTTATCGGCTGCACTTTCCTCACGCTGTCACAGCTTGAGGAAAGTACTGTTGATAACCGGCAATTGTCAGAGGAAGGATTGGCACCGATCATTAGTGCCCTGATGATTAGTGCCCAGCAGTGCAGCCCACCTGTGCCCAGCAGTGCCACTCACAAGTGCCCAGCAGTGCCACCCACCTGTGCCTAGTAGTGCCACCCACCTGTGCCCAGCAGTGCCACCCACCAGTGCCCAGAAATACCACCCATCAGTGCTGCCCAGCAGTGCCACAAATCAGTGCCCAGCAGTGTCGCCAGTCAGTGCCACCCATCAGTGCCGCCTATCAGTGCCCACCATTGTTGCATATTAGTGCAGCATCATCAGTGCCACCTCATCAGTGCCGCCCATCAGTGCTGCCTATTAGTGCTTATCAGTGCTGCCTATCGGTGCCACATCATAAGTGCTGCCTATCAGTGCAGCCTCATCAACGCACAGCAGTGAAGGAGAAAAATTACCTTGTTTTCAAAATTTTATATTAGAAACAAAGAAAAACTTTTTTTTTAAAATTTTGTTTTGTTTATAGCACAAAAAAATAAAACACCCAGCACCTAGTAAATACCACCAAAAGGAAGCTCTATTTGTGTGAAAAAAATGATAAAAATTGCATGTGGGTACAGTGTCGCATGACCGCACAATTGTCATTCAAAGTGCAACAGTGCTGAAAGCTGAAAATTGGCCTAGGCATGAAAGGGTATAAGTGCCCAGTAGGAAAGTGGTTAAAAGTGATTGTGAAGGTTTTTTTAAAAACCTTCTGTGTGCAGCAGTGCCCCCAGCCCCCTCAATACTTACCTGAGCCTTATTACGATCCAGTGATATGAATAACAGCCTTGGCTGTTTCGGGTCTCTGCCTCCTCATTGGCTAAGACAGCAAGCGGAAGCCATTGGCTCTCGCTGCTGTCAATCACAGCCAGTCAGCCAATGAGAAGAGAGGGGGCAGGGCCAAGACACTGCTCCGCATGTGAATAGACACACGGAGCAGCGGGTGCCCCCATAACAAGATGCTTGCTGTGGGAGCTCCCGACAGACAGGAGGAGCCAGGAGAGCCTGTGGGGGACCCGAGAATAGGAGGATCCGGCTGCTTTGTGCAAAACCACTGCACACATCAGGTAAGTATAGACATGTTTGTTTACAAAAAAATCAACCTTTAGAATCGCATTAAATATACAAATTGTTAGATTAGCCACTAGAGGCAGCAAGCAGTCAATTGGCAATCACGCTACCGCCCTTCTATTGACATAAGATATCAGCCGCCCTGTAACATGTAATGCCTTGTTTTCCTTGGGTTGGCTAGCACATAGACTTGGAGCACATATAATATCTAGCCATCATGTATGTATGTAGCCATCATGCCTTAAGCCAGAGTGTCTTGTTAAATTTATTACTGCCTGACTGTATCCAGCTACTGCTTAATTGATAGGGGAGAAGTAAGAGTTGGAATATGAATACTTATGTTCTTTTCTGGGAGTTTTGTTGCTGATTGTGCATGCTAAGGAGGGATATACATTTTTGGATTAACTGAGAAGAGGGTCTTCTTTTTCTGGGCTTAAGCCAGCCTCAGACGATCAAATCTGGGCTGGTTCAGCAGAGACTTCGATCCATCTATGGGCAGGCGGATTGTACCCAAGACGATTCATTGATCAACTTGGGTATAACCAGCATGTCGGATTTTTAGCATGCAGTTATTATCAGTAGTAATCACTTCCCACAGAGCAAAATAGCTCCATGGGAAGGATTAACAGTCAGTGTCAATGGGGGAATCGAGTGATTTTCTTAGCCTATGGCTTGCCTTATGTTAGGTTCACATCTCTGCAAGCAGGGAACACAGTCGAAATTGTGCACAATCCTGAGTCAGAGGGAAACGCTCTGCACTTTAGCAGATGGGCAGGAGTTCCTTTATCTCTAAATGGCACCTTCCCATATGGGCAGCTACAGCACAATTTCACACGCAGTAAACAGCATGATGCTGCAGCACCATATGATTCAGTGCATGCGACTTCTAAAGAGAGTCAGGGACTTCTTTCCCTATGTTTCTTGAGGGTAGGACAGGCCATTGAAATGAATGGGCTGTGGTACATGCAACGTGCACTCTCAAACTCGCTTGCAGATATCTGAACAGAGCCTTAGGCCTGGGGTCAAGGCCTGCTGCCCAGGGAGGGCTTTATATGCTTGAAGGTCAGGCCAGGGTCAAGGTCTAGAGCTGTTCTGCCTAAAATGTAGGAAGCTATAATCAACTGGAGTACCAAAGATGGTGCCATGGCAAGCTTTGAGCAACCGGAGCCTCATAGACGACTGGTAAGTGGATTGGAGAATTGATAGAGCCATCTACTGACCAGACCAGGTACTTCAATATTACAGAAGCACAAGACCCGGCATAAAGGTGCTTATTCTGTAAAGATGGGAAGAAAGTCTGGACAGGACTGTACTCTGGGTATATATAATAATCCAATATATTCCAATATATTTCTCAAAGTTCCTGGTCCCCATTGTCTTTCTTCCCCTACCCTTCACCATGGATTTTGCCCAACCTGTCTCTGGGTGTCCTAATCATGCCTCTACCTTGTCTGAGCGGTGCTTGGTGCAATAATATTCTGAGCCCAGGCTGCATGAGATGAAGCTCCTCCCCAGGGATTGTAGGTTAGCATTGTCACATTTAATTTTTATATTAGCTTGACTATTTAATTTTTATTTTTACATGGAGTTCTGCTTTAAGTACATGCAGCTAGATAGATGAAATGCTGTATTATTTAATTGCAATAGATCTTTTTCATTTTTTTGGCAAAACACATCTACAGCTGACTCTTCTAGTAAGTGACAATTTTCAGCACATCATGCCATTTTAATTTCTTTCTTGTGTATTGAATGGTGAACTATCAGACATCAGTTGAATAAAAAGAGAGAAAGTAATGAAAGCTCAAACAGTTTTTATTTTTTTATTTCTTTTTAAAGAAGGACAATCAATCACCAAGATTGCATTTTAATAGAACAGTTTATACTTGTTTGAAATGATGTTTAAAAACATGAGCATATGTAGTGCTGGACCTGCTCTTGCCATAATGACTTCTGTGATGTATTTTGTTTTCCTGATTGCAAACGCTTTAACAGAGATGCATACCGTTGTACTTATGAATACTGCTGGCATAAGTCATTACGTACCGTTCTATGTATGCCACGTGCCAAGGAGCAGGTAATAAAAAATCATCAGGGTACTCTAATACTCGCCATTCAAGACATCAACACAAATAATTGACTGGAAGTTTTTTTTTTTATTATTTTCCTCCCTGCAGCCTAAGACATATGAACTTCATTAAAGTGATACAGATAATCTTTCCATAACAGCTGGAAATGTATAACCAACCTCTAATACACCTTTAATCTTCCTAATGAATTTCTTTGCTGTGTTTTCAGGCCGGCCTGTGATGATTGTGGTGGAGTACATGGAAAACGGATCCTTGGACTCCTTCCTGCGGGTAAGATGTCATTTTCTGGTGACATTTGAATAAGAAACAATTCTGGCCTGAGATTTGAAACCATTTATTGCAAATTAATTTTTACATAATATTATTCATGGCTTTTTTTTTTTTTTTCCCTTGCCCTGAAGAATAGCTGCTTTTTCCCCTGGGCTGTATTACCTTGGTGTGATGATACATGCACCATTTTCAGCAAATAAAGAAGACTCGGACTTAAGACTATAATTGATTCCTCCTCTAAGCAGGAGCTAGTGATTAGAGAAGTGTATTTTGAAGTTATTGAGGGCAGGAATTTTTGATCCACTGGGCATATTTGAAATTTCTTTAACCCATATAGCAATCATGTCAGCTAATTTAACCACTTGCCTACCAGGCACCTATAGCCCCTTCTTTACCAGGCCAATTTTCAGCTTTCAGCGCTGTCGCACTTTGAATGACAATTGCGCGGTCATGCAACATTGTACCCATATGACATTTTTATCGTTTTTTTCTCACTAAATTAGAGCTTTCTTTTGATGGTATTTAATCGCCGCTGGGCACTTTACTTTTTGCGCTATAAACAAAAAAAGTGCAAAAATTTTGAAAAAAAAAAAAGTTTCTTTGTTTCTATTATAACATTTTTCAAACAGGTAATTTTTCTCCTTCACTGATGTGCGTTGATGAGGCAGCACTGATGGGCACTAATAGGCGGCACTGATAGGCAGCACTGATGGGCACTGATAAGCAGCACCGATAGGCAGCACTAATGAGGTGGCACGGATAGGCGGCACTGATAGGTGGCACTGACTGGCATCACTGCTGGGCACTGACTGGCACAACCACTGGGCACTGACTGGCAGCACTGCTGGGCTGCACTGATGGGCACTGGTGGGCGGCACTGGTGGACACAGGTGGGTGGCACTGATGGGCACAGGTGGGTGGCACAGCTGGGCACAGGTAGGTAGCACTTCTGAGCACAGGTGTGTGGCACTGCTGGGTGGCACAGGTGGGTGCACTGCTGGGCACAGGTGGGAGCACTGCTGGGAACAGGTGGGCGGAACTGGTGGGTGGCACTGCTGGGCACCGATCACCAGTGCCCTGATGATCTGTGCCGATTCCTGCTCTGACAACTGCCGGTTCTCGGCAGTACTTTCCTCGCGCTCTGACAGCGTGAGGAAAGTGCAGCCGAGAACCGGCAATTGCATTTCCCCGTGATCAGCGTGTCATTGGACACGACTGATCATGTGGTAAAAGACCGCTGTGATTGGCCTTTTACCACATCACGTGATCAGCTGTGTCTAGGACACAGCGATCACGGAGATCGCCGGGGGCGCGCAGGAGAGCGCGTTCTGGGAGGATGTCATATGACGCCCACCCAGAACTGGCCGGCCGCAGTGTAGCCGTCATTCGGCTATCTGCGGTCGGCAGGTGGTTAAAGTGGACCTTGCATAAAAATTCATGGTCCACTTATGTTTCAGCCCCGCCATCTCACTGAATAAAAAATGCTGAGTGAACAATAAAGGAGAAAAAAATGTAATAATACTTACTTTACAGCCCGGCTTTCAGCCACTTCCTGTTGGGACCAGGAACCTCAATGGGCTTCAACACAGGATCCTGAGAATGGTGAGAATCCCAAATCTCATGCCAAGTTTGTGGCACATTCTTGAGGGAGTCGGATCTTTAGCCTTCCCAGTTACGTTATACTTGCCTAGGTGTACATACCAAAAGCAGAGGTGTAACATAAGCATGTTTTTATTTTCGTTTCAATAGGTTTTTCTTTTTTATTGCATTCACATAGGGTTTTTTATTCAGTGGTTGAAGCTTTAACAAAAGTAGACTACAAAAGATCACTTTTAATATATCTAATTCAAGAACAACAAATGTATTTATTGCAGTTTACCAGTGGTGACTGCATAGTTTTCATTTTTTATGCACATTCTGCAAGTGCCTGTTGATTCTATTAAAAATCCAGTGTCTTTTAATTTTCTGTAAACTGAACTGAAATCACATACATTGTTATTAGCTTCCCTTGCTATCTTCTGTGACCTACAGAACACTTCCTCCCTATGTATTGGAGATAAGGAAGGGGCTGCTTGTTGTTCAAACCAGAAGAGCGGCCTAGGGTGGCAACACCTCCATAGATACAGTAGTGTTGTCAACCTAGGACAGGAAGAGTGTAACTGGAAGGAAAACCATCACGTACCAGGACTGGTAAACTGTTATATATTATATTTTTGGTTTTAGATTTAGATATGCTTTAAGTTTTAAACAGTAAAAGGCTTGTTTAGAGCAGACTCTGCTTTTACCTTTGTTATGCCAGGACACAACATGATTGGGAAATCTCTTCAATGGAGTCACAGGCTAAAACAAAAATACATTTTCAGTACAATGCGGAAAGGTTTAAAATCTTGGACAATATTTTAATTGCTGTCTGTACCTTCCTGTCCCAATGGATCCTGTACCATTAATCCACTGGCTATTAGGCTTTAAGGAATAACTGCTGTAAGTGTACTTATTCTTTAATTTTAGAGTGTACATTAAGGCCCAATAGTGCCAGAGGACAAAAAACACTTACCAGTTTCTACAACTTTACTTCCTTGATGGCCAGACCAGTGGCCATCACTTTCCTGCTGCAAGAGACCAAAAGATGTAGAAACAGTTGAGTGTTTTTTGGTCTCTCTTGCAATCCTATCACTGACGAGTTGCCACCAGAGACAGGATTGATAGTGTGACATAGGCCTAAGTGCTAAAGTTATGGAGAGAGAAAGGATACAGTAAGCACGATGGTAATATTTGGTAGAAAAGGAGTAGGCATACTTCTAGTGTCAAAAGTCAAATGTAAAATGCCAGGGAACTGGTGCAGAAATTGAGAAGGCAAAAGTACTATATTAAAGTGGACCAGAGCTTAAAAAGTAAAGATTTGCTAAGCTACAGATGTAGTGCTAACCGACCAAAAGGGCTGGCTGAATAGTTCCAAGGTTCTTCCCCAAGCTAGGGTATTTGAAGTCAGGCACACAGTCTCAATGACTTTTCCAATTCAATGATTAACCTAGGGCAGGAGTGTCAAACCCTCCAGCTGTTGCAAAACTACAAGTCCCATCATGTCTCTGCTCTTAGAAGTCATGCTCGTTACTGTTAATCTTGCAATGCCTCATGGGACTTGTAGTTTTGCAACAGCTATTCTAGGGGTATCCTTTTTGTGATGCTTTATTAAATTTTAACGTGGATGGGTGCAGGGTAACTTTGGGATACTCATGTAGAGCAAAGTAGTAACTTGAGGACATTTGGCTCTTTTTCAAAACTTCCTATCTCAGTCCATGCAGCAGCAAATAATGGCTGAACTACACAGGGACACAGTAAGGGATGTCCACCTTTCAACACAAGCTGACATTGATGTATGAGGGGCAGTAACAGCACACAGTCACTGGGATCTCACACATCAGTCGCTCTCACAAATGTCCCTGGATATTTGGATGCATCCTTCCATTAGAGAGATATGTCTCCTGTGGGCTCTTCAGACTGGATTTGGAGTTTTATTTGCGTGCCATACTTTTTAGCCCAAGGTGGATTACCCACAGCCTGGCTGTAAAATTTCTAATGGGAGAGATCTGCGCCATCTTTCCTGCGGTCTAGAATGCAGTGGCGTATTTAGGTTTTGCACTGCCCTAGGCAACACAAAATTCCCCCTCTCCTTCCCTGCAGAGAGAGCTTGACATTGACCAACAACACCCCTGTCCCCTGCAAGAGACTTCAACTTCAACTACCCCCCCCCCCCCCCCCTCCAGCGCTAGAGAGAAAGACACTCACTTTTGCAGCTCTGGACATCCCTGGAACGAGAGTCAGGCTCTACATACACCATCAAGCAGCCTGCAGTCTCTCCTGGATCCCACCTGCTCCCCATGTGTCCCTTCTGTTCCTTCTTCTGGGTGGCGGTGCTGCCCCCCTGAAAAATGCTGCCCTAGGCAAATGCCTTGTTTGCCTCATGGTAAATACGCCCCTGCTAGGATGCCCTGCATATTGGGCAATCTCCCAGATTGAGCGCTCTCCCTCTTTTCAGCTTGCACATGCTCAGTGCTCCCTCTGTCATGGTAGTGGCTGAGCTCAGACCTGCTGCAACATGGGAGGGAGAGTGCACTGTGCATGCTGAGCCATGTGTTTCCTCCATATGGGTGGATGGGGAGAAGATTTAAATGGACTAGGAGTGAGATATAAAGTGTCATTTCTTTGCAGTTAACAGTGTTGAAAAAATTGTCAATAGTTGCTAATGTAAATCCAAAACATGCCTATGGTAAGCATTCAGTTGGGAACACAGCAAGCTAAGTGTCACCTTTTAGCTACACCGGGTCAGAAGTAATTATGCTGTGTAAATGGCAGATGGTGTTATGACCACAGGTGCTGCTCCTCAGCAGAAGTTCACTTATAGAACCATTAATCATGTGTTATATTCTGCTGTCTGACTACAAAAGGATGATTTGTCGCTTCTTACATTGAACTGTTGTGTTACACCTACTGCAGTGTTACCAATGTATCCATCAATGTTTGTTATCCTTTGGAAGGCATTTCAGATATGTAAACCTGAACAGGAATGTAAATAGGAACTACTTAAAGTGTTACTAAACCCAGGACCCTGCGTTCACTATATCTGGTCTCCCACAGTACACAGAACATGGAAATGCAATTATTTTAGTAAATATAAACTGCTAAATACCTTTTTTTATCATCAGTTAAAGAGCAGTCTTGTGGCTTCTATCAGTGTCCAGCACAGCACTAGTGACAGCTTGTAGTATGAGTTTTCTTTCTGCTCTAGGAGGATGCAAAATCCATGACCTCTTTCTGGACAGTGCTGATTGGCCCTGTGCATATCACATGCACTCTCCCAAGAAAAAAAAAACTCTGGCAATACACACTAAACTGAGCATGTCCAGAATGGCTATGGTTCAGGAGATAAGACGTATACATTTGAACAAGAGGAGGAGCAGAGAAGTCGGGATAAAGCAGCATTTTTACACAATTCAGAGGATTAACCCCTTAGGTTCCTCAGTGAGTATAACAAGCATGCTTTACTGCACATACAGACTGATTTTACTGTTCTGGGTTTAGTAACACTTTAAAGCTGAACTTCAGGGAAATGTAAAAAACATAAATAACACCATTTAAAGATTAGCATTATTATTATTATTATATAAAGCATTATAATTTTTTCACTATTCTGTCCCTATGGGATAAAGTGCATGTAGTACTTTGTCCCATGTTAGAGGGAGGATCTTGGGTGCAGTGTCTCTGTTTGTGCAAATACTGAACAATAAAGTTGATTTCACCCTTTGTAAGTGTCGTGCATCTCCAGGAATTTTTTAAATCCTAAAACCTAGTATAAGTGACTGAATCTAGTTTGATATCAATCGCCTGTAATCCGTTGAACAGAAACACATAGAGTTCACTTACACTTGGCCCTCTGATGAAAATTCCACAGTGGATCACTTTTCAGAGGGTGTTTGACAGGTTGTTGGGGTCATTATGTTGCCTTCTCATCTGTGTTATCCTCTAAAAGCTCACAACAGTACATTCATTTGGTCGTGGTTGGGGGGGCAGTTGTTGCATAGCCCCATTCATTTGACAGCAGGGATCATTTTTGCCACACTGCAATGCAAGTCATCATGTACACCCTTATATAGCGGCCTTTGCAGCTTAAAGGGAGCTGTTGGGGGGTGGTAGAAACGTGGCTCAACCACATGTTTTTACTGCATACCCAACTGCAAGTGTAAACTAATGCAGGCCATAGACGGGTCGAAAATCGGCTGATTTGTCGGCCAAAAAAAAGAAAAAAATCGGCCGATTTTCGCACCGTTAGTGGGATAATTGGTTGACCGTTTTTCGGGGTTTTGGCACATTTTTTTTATCGGTAAAGCTGAAACATTTGCGGCCGATTTTGATGATCAGCCAATTTTCCCGGCAGTGATGGGCAAATCGGCTGATTGTTTTACCGATAAAAAAAAATCTGTGTATGAGCCGTGACCTGCAAAAA